GGGCCCGCCTTCCGACCCGCCCGTTATGGTCTACCCGCCCGATTTGCCCGTCTGGTTCGGCCACGGGTTTCCTGTTCCTAGCCTACGCTCTCTCGTGCTCCATCCTCCTCCGTCCTCCTTGTCCCTTCCTTCCATCCGTTCTCCTTTCCCCTACCCTAGGGGCTGCACGACATACACGTTCCACGTACGAAACGAACATACCAACGAGAGGATACGCAGAGGGCGGGTATCGAAACGAAGAGGGCGGGTATCGAGGGTTTGGGATGTATGTGTTGAGTGGAGCGCGAGCAGATAAGAGCGAGCCGTCGTTACATGAATGTTGGTGTTGGTGGTGCTGATGTTGGTGTTGGCGTTGCTGGTGTTGTTGCTGCTATTAATGTTGCTGTTGTTGTTGCTGTTGCTGTTGGTGTTGTTCTTTGTATTGTTGGTGGTGTTGTTGGTGTTGATGCTGTGGTTGTCGTCGACGTCGTCGCCGTCAACCTCGCTGTTGTCGTAGTCGTCGTTGTCGTCGTCGCTATCGTTGCCATTGGCTCTGATTTGAGAGGGGCGGGGGACGGAGAGGCGAAGATGAAGAGGCGGAGACGGCAGAGGAGGAAACGACGATGAGGAGGAGAGGATGGAGGTGATTAGTCGGGGGTGGAGGAGGAGGGGAAGGGATAGCCTCCTCACCGCTCCCCTCTCCTCACTACAACTTCGCTTCCTCCTTGCCCTTCTCCTTCCCGTTTCCCCCCCCCCCCCCACTCCACCACATTCCCACCTCCTCCACAAACTCGTTTCTTCCCTCCCGCTCCCTCCTCTCCATCCCTCCCCCTCCTCCGCTCCCGCCCTCCCTCTCGCACCTCCATCTCTTCAGCTCCCCCACGGGGGAGGGCTTTGGGGAGGAGCAGGAGGAGGAGGAGGAGGAGGAGGACGAGGAGGAGGAGGAGGAGGAAAAGGATCGCTGCAGGACGAAGAGGATGAGGGGGAGAAGGAAGTGCAGGGGAAGGAGAGGATGTAAGAGCAGGAAGAGGATGTAAGAGCGGCGTCCTCGCTGCTTTTCCTGGGCACTGCCCGAACGTCAATGTAGAGACGCACGCCGCTGGCGCCGATCTGGTTTACAGTGAGCGGCTTGAGTAAGGAACACTTACTTTTCAAAAGGGGCTCGGTCGTTCCTTAGGTTTGCATACGTTATGTACAGTTCCTTATGCGTTATTTGTTATGTATCGTTCCTTATGCGTTATTCTTTGGGATAAAAAAGGGGCTTCGTTCCTTATTTATCGTTCCTTAGGTCAGGCCGATGACTGTACCACCCCCACCACCACCACGAAACATCCGGCACACCGCGGGCTTTTGGTGACCGTTTTCTTATTCCTCGTGCTGCCGATATCGGCGCGGGCCCTCGCACACCCCTCTCTCCCCCCTTTGGAGTAGATCTTGGCTGCTTTCGGCGCCTGTTTCGAGCGGGTGCGGCCTCGCCCGCGCTGTCTGGGCTGCGACCTGCGAACACAGCGACAATCACGCTCGCAGGCAGACCAGGGCTCGCACGGACGGGGCGGCGGCTGCCCAGGCGGTCGACGGGAAGCGGTCGCGCGACCCTCCTTCCGGCGGTCCCGGCCGGCCGCCCGAGAGTCAGGGGGCCGACCGGACGACGAGCTGGTCGTTTTTGCCCGCTCTTACGGCCGCGACTTGCCCGAGACCAGGCGGTCTTGGAGGGTTTCTCCGAAAGGCTTCGGTGACCCGTCCTCCTCCTCCTCCTCCTCCCTTCTCATCCTACTCCTCCCCCACCTCCTCCTCCCTTCTCCTCCTCTTCCTCCTCCTCCTCCTCTCCCTGAGGCCCCTTATGAGCACGAAGAATATCACAAGATGGAACAGGGTACTGCAGAACCTAGGGCTTCAGGAGATATCGGAGGAGGATGCGATCAGGATGGGGATTCTGGAGGTCCAGAGCAACATTAGCAGCAACAGCAGCGTCGCAGAGGAGTACATATGCACGCATGAGAACGACGACGGCACTATATGCGCATGCACGTTCAACAGCATGAAAGCCTTAACAGCACACGTGACGCACGCACACAAGATGAGGAACTTGTACGCGCTACTGGTTACAACAAATGTCTGCCCGTGGTGTCGCACAGCCTTTGCGAGTCGTGCTTCTTGCTTGCGACACGTTCGCACAATGTCTCAGCGGACGCCTCGTTCTTGCCCGACCCGCATCACGTCATTCGCTTTTCGGTTCGAAGTACTCCCGGTGTACTACTGCGGCTTCTGCCGCCACGAGGATACTGAATTACATAGTCATCTTGACCACGTGCAGCAGCACGCGCCAGGGCCTGACAAGACACAGCAACAGCCGAGCGACGAGCAGAAGGGCGACGAGCACGATGTGGCGCTCGTACGGAGCGGGAAGCGGAGGAAGACCACGATCGGAGACGATGGACTTCGACGCCAGAGCAGCACAGTCACCCAACAAGTACGGCGGTGGCAAGGGGAAGACAGGCAATGGCAAGTCAAATGGATCCGCCAGCGAGGCGAGCAAGGACGACGAGATGGTGACGATCGAGAAGCTGTGTCTCAACAACGCACAAATCGTGCGACAACTTTCGGGCAGCTTGTGGGACTTCTACCTGGTGGAGGGAGATCACACGCCGTCGGAAGCAGGAGCTCACGAGGGCCAAGAGTACGCGAACAAGGTTCAGAACGGAGCGAAAAACCTGGGCTCGCCGCGCGTGTACATCGGCGCGACGTTCTTCGAGGAGCTGGCCAACCTGACTACTACGCCGTCACCGTACAGAGAGACCCTCGAGCAGTTCGCCATGTTGATCAACGTCATCCACGTGGATTTCTTCGGGGACATTCTGCCGTACTTCAAGGTCAAGAAGGCGTACAGCGAGGCAGGAACGAGCACGAGATGGAAGATACACATTCTGTTCAATGCGCTGGCGATGAGCCCGTGGACAGAGGAGAACGAAACCAAGATCAACCAGAAGCGCGAGACACAGGGACAGCAGCCTATCAAGCTGGAGCAGGCTCAGACCTACCACCTCCGCCAAGCGACTCACGTGGCCATCACGAACAGCGGGGGCAACGCCATAGTGGGGGCGCCGCCGCCAAGCGCGTTGGAGCGCCGCCTTCAGAACTACCTGCGCGAGAGGCTCGCGCACATGTGAAGCAGGCCTTAGGTCGCTCAGCAGCCAGCAAACAAGCGGCAAGCAACGAGGCAAGTAAACAGCAAGTAAAAATGCACGAGCTGAGGCAATTAGCAGCCGCAGGCAGCGTTAGGGCAGCGGAGCTGCTCGTGAGACTCGGCAAGCGCAAATGAGCTGGTGTTGGGGAGGAGGTGGGGAGTGCTTGGAGGGTAAAGCGCAGCCGTGATCTCGTTCCGTAATGAATTAGAGCAGTAGCGAGCAGCACCACTCGTATTCAGGCCAAGGGGCCTCGCGGACTTAGCGCCGACAAGCCAGACTGCCACGCTTGGAACTTCGCAGATGAGACAGATTTCTTTGGAGAATTGCAGATTACATAGGCTCACGCCATATCGTGCCTGCAGCTCCCCTTGAGGCCCTGCGAGGAGTCCTCCCTTCCTCTGTAGGTCCTCCTCTCCTCAGGCCCGAGTTGCCCAGAGGCCTGCCTCGGACGTCCTCCGAGGCCGCAGGAGCTCTGTGTAGATACGGTGGTGCCCAGCCGAATGGGCAGTGGTCGGCTTTGGAGCGGGGGAGGGGGATGCAGTGGGGGAGTGGGTGTGGTTCCATACATAACGCAGCGACGAGTAGAAACGACCAGCTTAGGTACAAGCAAATATCGTTTCTTCCGACCCAAGTGCGGTGGGGATGGGCCATAGTGTCATAAACCACCGCCCTGGACTGAGTGTTTTGAGTATAGACACAGGGGGTTCGGCCCTGAGCCGAAGTGGGCCCAAGGCCTCGTCGGTCACGAGGGTCCCACAGGCTCCCTCGAGTGTCTGCCTTTAAACCTGCCAGCAGTAACCCGACCCGCTCAAGGCGAGTCACACGCGAGCCGAGTTTTCTGACCCGATTCGTACCGCTGCCGAGGCGTCCGCTCCGCTCCGCTCCTCCTCCTCTTCCTCCTCCTCCTCGGGTCGCCTACGACTCTGGGGGAAACCGTGCAGGCCGACCGGACGGCTAGCTGGTCGCCTTTGTCCGTTCTTACGGCCGCGACTTGCCCGACACCGGGCGGTCTGGCGTGATTTTTCACCACCCGGAGGAAGATCCAGCGTTGCTTGGCTGTTGGAAGCGCGGAGGTGTTGTTCAGTGCGACGCGAACAGCCAAGCAGCCCCCCAACCGCCACCACACCGATCACCGCCACTGCGACCATTACCAGCTCCGGCGCGGCCAGCGCTGCTAGCACGACCATCAACATGGCCACCATCCCGACCTGGGCGACCACCACCTCGACCCCCACCACGGCCACAGCGACCACGCCGCCACCGCCACGACGCCCACCACCACGACGCCCACCACCACGACCACAACCACCACTTCCTCCACCACGACCGCCACGATCACCGCGACCACCGCTTTGACGACACCACGATGCCCACGACCATAACCACCGCCTCCACCACAACAACGACGACGTCACGACCACCACCGCGACGACCAAGACTTCCACGACCACCGCCGCAACGATTACTCCCACGACATCCGCACCCGCACCCGCACCCCTATTTCCTACCCCGTCTGCCTGGCCGACACTGCTTGCTGTCTTCTCCGCTCCTTCTCCTCCTCCTCCTTCTCCTCCAGGTCGTCCTTGCTCCTTGCCTCCTCGAGGTCGCCGTGCCGAGCTGGCGAGAAGGCGTTTCCAGCTCGCCCCCTGGCGCTGCCTGCTGTCCCGCCTTTGCCTTCCCCTTCCATGAGAGAGAGGGAGAGAGAGAGAGAGAGCGAGAAATGAGAGAGACAGAGAGAGAGAGAGAGAAAGAGAGACACAGATGGGACCGAGAGACACAGATACACAGAGACAGAAAGAGAGAGCGAGAGAGAGAGAGGGAGCGGCGTCGCCAGAGGACTGCGATTATCCGATCAGCACCGACAGGCGCGGCCTGGGGCGGCCCCGCCCCTGCACGCAGCCTCCCTGCAGGATGCCGGTCGGCTCCACTGGCACCTCCGTCCTCGGGGCCGAGCGGGTAGGGTGGGATGTGAAGAAGGAAGCGGGGGAGTTGGAGAAGGAGTAGAAGGAGGAATAGGAGGAGGAATCGGCTAAGGGACGAGGAGGAGGGTGCGCACGAGGAGGAGGAGGAGGAGGAGGAGGAGGAAGAGGAGGAGGAGGAGGGGGAGGAGGAGGAATAAGAGGAAGAGGATGAGGAGGAGGAGGAGGAGGAGGAGGAGGAGGAGGAGGGGAAGGATGAGGGGGACGAGGAGGAGGAGGAAGAGGAGGACGACGAAGACGTCTAGGAACAATGGAGGGGGAGCGGGGGGGGGAAGAGAAGGTGTGCAAGAGAGAGGAGAAAAGAGAAGTAGGAGGAGGAGGAGGAGGAGGAGGAGGAAGCGGAGGAGGAGGATGAAACACGAGGATAATGACACTGCACGGGGACCCCGCACGGAGATCTGCCCGTTGTGGGCTCGCTGTGGGAGCTGGGGGATGGATGGATGGATGGATGGATGGATGGATGGATGGATGGATGGATGGATGGATGGATGGATGGATGGATGGATGAAGAAGAAGAAGAAGTTAAGGATGCAAGAAGCGAGGGAGGGATGGAGGATCAGGGAGCAAAAGGGAGCAGGTAAGTAGCAGGGAGCGGGGAGGCTGAGGGAGAGGGGAGGAGGCAAAAGGAAGGAGGGACTGTGATAAGACGGGGGGAAGAGGGATCATGAGGCGGCGGAGGATACGGGAAGACGGGAGAGGAGGACCTCCTCCTCCTCTTCCTCCTCCTCGTCCTCCTTCTTCTCATCATTTCCCTCCTGCCAGCGCTGCCGATATTCATATCGCCCCTCCTCCTCCTCCTTCTCCTCCTCCTCATCATCATCATCATCCCCTTCCTGCCAACGCTCCCGATCCGTTCCCCCGTCCTCATCCTCCTCGCCCTCCTTCCCCCCCTCCCCTCCCCCCCCATCCACCATTCCCCCTCGCTTCCTACCTCCTCTCCCTCGTCTCCCTCTTCACCCTGATGTTTTTCCTCTCGTCATCCTTCCCCCTGTTTCCTCCTGCTCCTCGTCTTGCTTGAAATTCAAAATGAGCAGGGGCTGCTTGCCCTCACTGAGCCAACTATTTGCTGGATGAGCTCGCCCAGCGTTGTGATTCTGCCGGGCTACAGACGATCCCACTGGCACTACCACCGGCCAGATGATCTTCATACTCGATCAGAAATGTCCCAGTGTGGTTTTCCACCTGTCAGAGGATAGAATTACGAGCCGCCTGATCGCGGAGACGGCGGAGCCGAAGCACAAGGCGAACGTTCGCCCGCCCTCGACTGTTTCGCCTGGTTTCACCAGCCGCGTACACCGAATCATATTTGATGACATCCGCCGAAGGTGAAGAAGATGATGATGACACCCTGCCCTCTTCATACTTCCCCCTCGTCCTTCAGCATCACCCCCTTTTCGTCGCGTTCCCCCTCCTAGGTCACCCGCGGGGTGCGAAGATAATTCGCGCTTCGCGCGTCGCGGTCTGGCCCAGAGCGACTGCCATCCTCCGAGAGGAGAGCACGAGTGCGCGATGGTAATTGTGTGTCGCGCATCGCAGGGCGCGATGTTCGAAGTTGGATGGCCTAGCTTCCCTTTTCCTTCTCCTTCTCCTCCTCCTCCTCTTCCGACTGCTCATCCTGTCAGTACCCTGAGATCAGACGACGCGAAACAATACGTCGCCGTGACAAAACAAAAACACGAGCAGAGCCCGGGACCCTATCATTCTGCGCGATTTCTCGAGCGGATCGGTCTGTGAGGTTCCTGGGGCCCGAGGCGGGGCAAGCACGCCCGGCCGAATGACACATCGAGGCGCCAGGACTTCAGGGTAGTGGTGGTGAGGGCCGACGCGGCCCGCACCCCAGGGGATGGATGGGCGACCGCCCCGAGTGGCCGTGCCCCGTGGTCTTCACCGGGGACGCCCGGGGTGGGGGGCGCCGGGACTCTCCGACGAGAGCCGGTGGCTGCAGCACGGGCGGCTGTCGGGGGCCTCGAGACGGGGGTCAATGCAAACGGGGGTCAGCCAGGGCACCGGATCTTGCAGGATCCTGCGAAGACCCCCTCTGGCTGACCCGGGTTAGCGAGCCGCTCGTGGCCGCGAGGCGGCCGCGCGTATTGGCTGACCCGGGTTTGCGAAGATCTGCGTTGCAGTTTTTTTTTTCTGCATTGCAGTTTTTGGTTTCCTGCTGACCCGGGTCTGGATTGACCCGGGTCTGAAGATCCCCGAGGCTGGCCCCGTGGGGGGGCAGGAAACAGCATGGTGCGTTCCATGCAGGGCCTCGCCCTCGAGGATCGGTCGAGGGACATCAAGCGGCAGACAGACAGACATCAGGCAGGCGGCGCGCAACAGCGCATTGGCAAAACGATGCGACATAACGCAATATACAAGCAGGATTGGCGCGCACTGCCCACTGAAGCGTGGCGGATCCCAGTGGATGGGGGCCTGGTGGCCTTCAGAATCGTAGGCCGGCCCACCACTCACAGGGCGAAACTCATGTATTTTGTGCGTGAAACACGGATGCCGTAAAACGGCATAAACATAATTTCTCAGAGGTCCGCGCGGGTTTCTCGGAGCGGCGTTGGGGGGAGGGCACCGATCCAAGAAATCTGCGAGGAGCTCCTGAAGTTCATGTTTCATGCTTTCCTTTGCTCCTCCAAGCAATCTAGGCCTGCCAGATGCGGTCGAGCCAGATGGGGTCGGAGGTTCGCGCCGCATCACTGATGCATCGGCAATGCGGCTCGATGTGAAGCCCGATCTGGTCGACGCCGACATCGCAGATGCGTCGCCGACGTCGCCAATGCATCGCCGATGCATCACTGATGCATTGCCGATGCATCGCCGATAGGGCGCGATGCTTCGACCCCATGCGCTCTGACCTCATTAGGGGGACGTCTGGGAAAAGCTAAGAACGGGCCTCGCCCTCGAGGATCGGAGGCGTTAGCATCTCTTCCCCCGCCTTGGGCGGCGGGAGTACTATAGTTTTTTCGGCTACAGTAAGCATTCATTGGTTTAGGAATTATTTGCTGTAGCGCGCGCTGTATACAAGTACAGCAATAATTGTGACGGGAATTAATACTGCAGGCTCAGAGTGTTGATAAGACAATGTTTGGTACTGCATGTCTAGAGAGTTGGAAAGGACTTCGAAAAAATCAGTTTCTCGAGTTGGAGAGGAATTCCTAATGCTGGGGAGAATTCTGAATCTAAGCTAAAAGTCGAGACGGATTTGTCCGATGTGTGCTAGGGACAGGAAGGACACAATGAGTTTGGCAGGAATGTGATGCGGAATTTCCAGAGTTAGAAAGGAATTTCGAACACCAGGGAGAATTCTGAATCTCAGAGACAATCGAATCAGAATTGCCAGAGAAGCGCCAGGGCCAGGAAGGAGAAAAGGAGTTAGAAAGGAATGTGAAAAGGAATTCCCAGAGTTAGGCAGGAATTTCGAATACCAGGGGCAATTCATCATCCCAGAGACAATCGAATCAGAATTGCCCGAGAAGCGCCAGGGCCAGGAAGGAACAAGGAGATATAATGAAATTATATAGGGAATCTCCAGAGCTAGAAAGGCATTTTGAATACCAGGGGTAATTCTGCATCTCAGAGACAATCGAATCAGAATTGCCCGAGAAGCGCCAGGGCCAGGAAGGAAAAAGGAGTTAGAAAGGAATTGGATAAGGGATTTCCAGAGTTCGAAAAGCATTTTGAACACCAGGGGCAATTCTGCATCTCAGAATCAATCGAATCAGAATTGCCGGAGAAGCGCCAGGGCCAGGCAGGACAACGGAGTTAGAAAGGAAAGTGATAAGGAAATTCCAGAGTTAGACATGCATTTCGAATACCAGGGGTAATTCTGCATCTCAGAGACCATCGCCAGGGCCAGGAAAGAAAAAGGGGTTAGAAAGGAATGTGATAAGGAATTTCCAAAGTTAGACAGGAATTTCGAATACCAGGGGCAATTCATCATCCCAGAGACAATCGAATCAGAATTGCCCGAGAAGCGCCAGGGCCAGGAAGGAAAAGGAAGTTAGAAAGGAATTCGAAACGGGATTTCCAAAGTCAGAAAGGAATTTCGAATGCCAGGGTTAATTCTGCATCTCAGAGAGAATCGAAACAGAATTGCCCGAGAAGCGCCAGGGCCAGGAAGGAAATATTAGTTAGACAAGAATGTGCTAAGGAATTCCCAGAGTTTGACATGCATGCCGAATACCAGAGGCAATTCTGAATATCAGAGACACTTGAATCAGAATTGCCCGAGACGCCCCAGGGACAGGAAGGAGACACGGAGTTCGAAGGGTATGTGATAAGGAATTTCCAGAGTTTGAAGGGATGTTTATTTTTGTTTTTAAACGACGCCAGGAGGTCTGGGCCAGGAAAGAAAAACAACGAAGTTACAGCGGAATGTGACAAGGAATTGCCAGAGTTGGAGAGGAATGTCGTTTTGAATTTCGCTTTTTGTTTATTTGTCTCGTTGGCGACGCCAGGAGGTCTGGGCCAGAAAGCAAACATGAGTTAGAACGGAATGTGATAAGGCATTTCCAGGGTTAGAATGGGAGTCAATTTTTTGACGACGCCAGGAGGTCTGGGCCAGGAAAGAAAAAATGAGTTAGATAGGAAGTTTATCCGGATTCTTTCCGAATTAAGAAGGTTCGTTTGCGTTTGTTGTTATCGGTTTTCTTTCTGCGACGCCAGGAGATCTGGGCCAGGAGAGAAAAAGGAGTTAGAAAGGCAAGTGATAAGGAATTTCCTGAGTTAGGAAGGGATTTCGTTTTTGACGACGCCAGGAGGTCTCGGCCAGGAAAGAGAAATACATAAGTTTGAATGGGATTTGGTAAGGAAAGTCCAGGGTGAGAGAGGAAATTCGTTGTTGCCCCCCGTTTTCTTTTAAAGCCAGGAGGTCTGGGCAAGGAATGAAAAAAACGGGAGTTGGAAAGGATTTTGATAAGGAATTTCCAGAATTAGAAAGGCATTTCCATGCTGTCTCTTTGTTTCATTTGTTTGCGACGCCAGGTGGTCTCTTCTTGGCGCTTCTCGGGCAATTCTGATTCGATTGTCCCTGAGATGCAGAATTACCCCTGGTATTCGAAATTTATGTCTAACCCTGGACATTCCTTACCAACTTCCTTTCTAACTCCTTTTTCCTTCCTGGCCCTGGCGCTTCCCGGGCAATTCTGATTCGATTGTCTCTGAGATGCAGAATTACCCCTGGTATTCAAAATGCCCTTGTAACGCTGGAGATTCCCTATCTAATTCCATTCTAACTCCTTTTTCCTTCCTGGCCCTGGCGCTTCTCGGGCAATTCTGATTCGTTTGTCTCTGAGATGCAGAAATACCCCTGGTATTCAAAATGCCTTTCTAACGCTGGAGATTCCCTATATAATTCCATTCTAACTCCTTTTTCCTTCCTGGCCCTGGCGCTTCGCGGGCAATCGTGTTTCGATTGTCTCTGAGATGCAGAATTACCCCTGGCATTCGAAGTTCCTTTCGTGGGAGGTCGCGTCAGATTCCAGAGTGGGTCTCCTCATTTTCCCGACGGCCCCATCATGCCAACCCGAGTCCCCCGAACCCGAGCCTCACGTCCCCGAAAGAGGTGCACGTTTGCGGTGGGTGGGGGGTCAGGGCCTCTGGAACGAATCACAGGTATCTAGGGGCTCATAGGGGGCTCGCATCGCCCATGTCTTCGAGGCGCCAAGAAGAGACCACCTGGCGTCGCAAACAAATGAAACAAAGAGACAGCATGGAAATGCCTTTCTAATTCTGGAAATTCCTTATCAAAATCCTTTCCAACTCCAATTTTTTTCATTCCTGGCCCAGACCTCCTGGCTTTCAAAAAAAACGGGGGGCAACAACGAATTTCTTCTCTAACCCTGGACTTTCCTTACCAAATCCCATTCAAACTTATGTATTTCTCTTTCCTGGCCGAGACCTCCTGGCGTCGTCAAAAACGAAATCCCTTCCTAACTCAGGAAATTCCTTATCATTTGCCTTTCTAACTCCTTTTTCTCTCCTGGCCCAGATCTCCTGGCGTCGCAGAAAGAAAACCGATAACAACAAACGCAAACGAACCTTGTTAATTCGGAAAGAATCCGGATAAACTTCCTATCTAATTCCTTTTTTCTTTCCTGGCCCAGACCTCCTGGCGTCGTCAAAAAATGGACTTCCATTCTAACCCTGGAATTACATTCCGTTCTAACTCATGTTTGTTTTCTGGCCCAGACCTTCTGGCGTCGCCAACGAGACAAATAAACAAAAAGCGAAATTCAAAACGACATTCCTTTCTAACTCTGGCAAGTCCTTGTCACATTCCGCTGTAACTTCGTTTGTTTCTTTCCTGACCCAGACCTCCTGGCGTCGTTCAAAAACAAAAATAAACATCCCTTCTAACTCTGGAAATTCCTTATCACATACCCTTCGAACTCCGTGTCTCCTTCCTGTCCCTGGGGCGTCTCGGGCAATTCTGATTCGAGTGTCTCTGATATTCAGAATTGCCTCTGGTATTCGGCATGCATGTCAAACTCTGGGAATTCCTTAGCACATTCTTGTCTAACTAATCTTTCCTTCCTGGCCCTGGCGTTTCTCGGGCAATTCTGATTCGATTGTCTCTGAGATGCAGAAATACCCCTGGTATTCAAAATGCCTTTCTAACGCTGGAGATTCCCTATCTAATTCCATTATAACTCCTTTTTCCTTCCTGGCCCTGGCGCTTCTCGGGCAATTCTGTTTCGATTGTCTCTGAGATGCAGAATTACCCCTGGCGTTCGAAATTCCCTTTCTAAGTCCGGAAATTCCTTATCCGATTCCTTTCTAACTCCTTCTTCCTTCCTGGTCCTTGACGGCCCAGCTTTCGTGGGATGTTTGATGCGGGAGGTCGCGTCAGATTCCAGAGTGGGTCTCCTCATTTTCCCGACGGCCCCATCATGCCAACCCGAGTCCCCCGAACCCGAGCCTCACGTCCCCGAAAGAGGTGCACGTTTACGGTGGGTGGGGGGTCAGGGCCTCTGGAACGAATCACAGGTATCTAGGGGCTCATAGGGGGCTCGCATCGCCCATGTCTTCGACGAGGCTCCCTGGCGAGCGCTTGCAATGGCCACCCATGGTCTATCGACTCTTTTTTCGGCGGCGAGCCCCGGGTGGAAGTGAGAAAGGGCGGGCCTTCTCAGAAGGCTCCGAGGTTTCCCGGCCTTCTGAGAAGTTCTCTGAGTCTTCCCCGATGGCACAGAAGACCTCATCAAGGCGCGAGGGCTCCTGAGAAGTCCCGCCGCCTTCTTAGAATCAGGAGGGAAAGAAACACACAGACACAATTAATCGTCAATTCCCCAGAAAATATGCGAAAATATGGGAATTGGGGGGGGGAGACAAAAACCCAGAAAATATGGGAAAATATGGGGGATATTTTTATTTGTGTGTATTTATTTGTGTGTCCTAATTTCCCTTTATAGAAGGCCTTCTCCTCCCCATTGCCCCCCCCTCGCTCGCCGCCGACTGTTTCTCCTGGCGGGGCGCGAGGAGCAGCGGCGGCGGCAGCCGGATCGGGGCGGACGAAGGGGGAGGAGGGATCAAGGGCCACGCTCTTGCCATCGCTCGGACGTCCACTCCTCCGCAGCGATGCCAAGCGTGAGGGGTGAGATAGACTTATGGGGGATGCCTCGACCCCCACGACCCCCAATCGCCCATAGATCGCCGAGAGGGGTCCGATAGCCCACCCCGCTCGGGACCGTGCGGACTCGCGATGGGAGGCTCGGTTGTCACCGGTCCATGTTTGCCGATTCCAGGTCGATGGCTTCCCCCTGGGCCAGTCAGCTCCCCCTACGTATCTCTGCAGTGGAGACCCGTGCCAAGAAACACCCTGCTTGCCTCACGGGTGCCCTGGGTTTCTTGGGTTTCGATGGTTCTGCTGTGGAACGCGTGACGTTCCCACACCGATATCAATGGACGTCCTGGGGTCTCAGGGTTGGGTTCTTTTGAAATGTTTCTTGTGGACGAGACTCCACTGTAGGTTTCTAGGCCTTTCAGTTGGGGTCGAGCCAGATGGGACTGGAGGATCGCGCCGCATCGTCGATGCGTCGGCGATGCGGCTCGATGTGGGGCCCGATGTTCTCCACGCCGACGTCGCCGTTGTGTCGCCGACGTCGCGGATGCGTCGCTGACGTCGCCGATGCGTCGCCGATGCAGTACCGATGCGTCGACGATGCAGCGCGCTCCTCCGACACTATCGACTCCAGCCCAATTTTTGAGGCCTCTGCTAGCGTCGCCCCTCAAGGGGGGACGGGGGGGGGCGAAGTCTTGCTGCGCGCAGCCGATACGTGATTCACATGGCTATGACTGTGATACGTAAGAAAGAAGCAGGCACCGCGAAAAGAAGCAGGAATATCAAACGAACAAACATAGAACAACGACATTCCTTGTTAACTCTGGAGGTTCCTTACCACATTCCTTCATGTTGGCTTTTCTTTCCTTCGTGAACCACGCAGCCCGCAATTTCTTCCCAATTCTGGAGATTCCTTGTCACGTTCCTTTCTAACTCCTTTCAATCTCTGGGAATTCCTTACCAGAGTCCTCTATAACTCCTCTTTTCTCCCTTGTCCAGACCTCCTGGCGTCGCAAACCAGAAGCACGAGATTCCTTTTTGATTCGGTAGAATTCCGTATGAAATCCCCTTCTAACTCTTTTTGTATTCCCCTTTCCTGGCCCAGACCTCGCGGCGTCGTTTGAAAAGAAGAATTTCTTTTTGACTCAGGAAATTCCTTGTCGCATTCCTATCTCCTCTGTCTCTGCCTTGCCCAGACCTCCTGGCGTCGTAACAAAGGCACGACGTTCCTTTCTAATTCTGGAGATGCATAATCAAATGCCTTGCTAACTCGTGTTGTTCCTTCCTGGCCCACGCCTCCCGGCGTCGTGCAGAAAAACATTCGAGAAACGAAATGCCTTGCTAACTCTGGAAATTACGCATCAAGTTCCTTTCTTTCTCCGTCTTCTTCCCCTGGCTCAGACCCCCCCGCGCCTCGACAAACCAATCTCTGAAAACAACATAAACTGGCTATGAGTGTTTGCCTCACTGATGGTGATCATCACACTCATCAGCATCATCATCATCATCATCATCATCATCATCATCATCATCATCATCATCATCATCATCTTCATCATCATCATCAGCATCATCATCATCATCACCATCATCACCATCATCATCATCATATTAATATTCACCGCTGTCATTACCTTTACCGTCATCGTCATCATTGTCGTCACCGTCATCGCTACCATCATCATCATCATCATCATCATCATCACCATCATCGTCATCATCATCATCAACATCATCACCATCATCCTCAACATCATCAACATCTTCACCGTCATCTATTCCATCATCACCACCATCATCGTCATCATCAGCAGCATCAACAGCATCATTATCATATATTTCTCCCTCATTGTCGTGATCCTGCTTTCCCTCTTCGCCCGACTTGCCTCATGCTGGCCCCATTATTATTATCGTTCTCAGCGTCATATTTGTCCTCCGGCTCCTCCTGTTTTTTTCCCCATTCTCTCTTCCTTTCCTCTTCCCATCCTCTCCCTACTACATGCCCCGTACCCCATAATCTCGGCCCTCTTCAATTCACCCCCCTTATTTTCAGCCCCCCCACCCGCGCTTTGTTCCCCCCTCTTCTGCCCCCGCCCCTCCAACCTCCCCCTACTGACTCCCACCCTCCTCCCCCGCCCTCCCTCCTCATCTCCCCGTCTCCTCCCCGCATCCCCGTCCTCCGCCTCTCCCCTGCGGCGCACGCCGCCACGTCTATGTTTAAGTCGGGCCCGTCCCTCTACAGGAGGAATCATCAGACATGGTCAAAAAAGCATTCCGGGGACGACTTCCTGCTTAGTTTTGACACGATTCGGGTGGCATGTTTTGACATCTGTCGTCCAAGATCCGCCTGTGGGAGGACACGCCCGACCTAATAGTCAAAAAAGTATTCCAGGGACGACTTCCTGCTTCGTTCTGACACGATTCGGGTGGCATGTTCTGACATCTGTCGTCCAAGATCCGCCTGTGGGAGGACGCGCCCGACCTAACTCTGTTCCGGCCGCTCGGCCCGAGCGCCCCCGCCGCCGAGGACGCCGGCGCCGAGCTGTAAGCGCGCGCGCCCGGTGCGCCGGGCTCCTGCCCCTCGACGGGCCGGCGCGTGGCCGCGGGCGGAGTTGGGCAAGGGTTAGGTCGGGCCTGTCCCCCTACAGAGCGGTTTTCGACGAAAACTAAAAAAAAAAAAAATCAAAATAGTGGAGAATAGTCCAAAAACAGTCGGGGGACTATGTTTGTGGAGTGTTTTCTGCTCTTTTGGGGGTATTCTGGGGTAGTTGTTATTCTTCATCCCCCCTGTAGGGAGACAGGCCCGACTTGAGGCAAGGGCAGGGCCGGCGGCACGTGAGCGGGGCCCTTCGCGGGGTGACCCCTGGCGCGCGGCTTTTGGGGGCCGCTGCGGGGCCAAGCCCAGGCACCGAGGCACGCATGGGCGGCTGCGGTCGCACCGCACGCGACGGCAGGCAGGCCTCGAAGCAAAGGTCACGCTCGCCTGGGGTCACTCTCAGATGTAGCCGGAGGGGGTTCCGGTAAGGAATCGCGTCAGGGGCTCGAGCGAACCACATGTGTCCATGGGGGGCACCACGTGGGGGGTTCCGGCCAGGAGCTCACCCTCGAGGACCGGAGGAGCTGTCACATGTTTCCCCGCGGAGGGCGGCGGAAGCAGGGCTGGCGGAGGGCTTGCGGAAGCAGGCATATGCCCTCGAAGAGGTGCACGCGTCTCGAGGTTCAGGGCTTCTGGAACTCGCCACACATGTGTCTGGGGATCGGGCGAAGAGAACTACACACATGCACCGATCCTGTCAAGGCCCGTCCTTGACCCAGGATCGGTGCATGAACCTTCCTGGCCAAGGTAGCGGGCGTATGCACCGATCCTGGGCTCAGGATGGGCCTGGCCAGAATCGGTGTATGTGCATAGTTCTTTTCCCTCTAAGGGGGCCGCATCGCCCATGTCTTCGACGAGGATCCCCGGCGAGCGCTCGGAATTCCCACCCTTGCAGCATCCACTCTCCTTTTGCCCCCGCGGAGAGAAGGGAGCAGCGGAGGCAGCAGAAGAATCGTGGCGAACGAATGGGGGGTGAGGGGCCAGGGGGGGAGATAGGCTCAGGGGTGAACGCATCGATCCCCAGCCGCCTGTTGGACGCCGACAGGGGACTCTTAGTCCACCCCGCCCAGGATTGTGAGGGTTCGCTATCGAGAGCCCGGCGCCGATCCATCGGCGATGTATCTCCGACGGGAAAAGCTCCCGAGGCCAGGATGTGTCCACCGCCCTGGGGGGGCCCTGATCTTCTTGGACCTCGGCAGTCGGTGGACATGGTTGTTCAGACCCTGGGCGGGGCCAAACATGTCCACATACACCTTAGGCGATGCTTAAGAAAACTTATTTTTTCGGCCAGACTCTCGATTATTCTTAATGTTTCAATGTAAATCCTAAGATTTGAATGGAAATTTTGGGTTTTTATCCAAGTTCTGAGACTATGAGTTTCTCAACCCATGATTTCTTAAGCATTTCGCGGGGTGTACACCGCCTGCCGAGGCTCCCCAAGACGGACCCCCCCAGGCGGTGGTGACGAACAAGTCCCGGCTTCGCAGCTCTGTAGGATCCCTGGCTGGCCTCGCGCGCGCCCACGACCGGGCACGAGCTGCGGGCAGGGGCGACATCCACCAGCCGAAGTGGGGCCAGGGAAGGGGGGGAGCAGATCTCCACAAGGTGCAGGTGGTGGCCGAGGAGCTGTTGCCAGGCGGGGAGGAGTGAGGCGGAGGGGCGGGGAGAGTGCAGCATTAAACCATAACACCCGAGCGGCTCGCTTAGCAGGGGTGCGAAAGGAAAGGAAAGGAAGGGGGGGGGCTTCGGATGCTTTCGGGGGCCTCTGGAAGTTTCGCAGGCTTCCCGTGCTCAGGGTGGTTTTTCCATCGGCTGCGCCTCGTGGAGAGCCGGGCAGATGACAGAGGCCTCCTGATATTGCCGTTCGGAGGTTCCCCTGCGTTTCCGGAGGGTTTCGGTGCCCCTGGTGGTTTCAATCGGCTGCGTCTCGTCGACGGCGTTCAGAGGCTGCCGCCGCATGAGGCCCGGCCCCCTTCGGCGAGCATGGATGTGCCTGCCGCGTAGCAGATGCTGGGTCCTGACCGGGGCGTGGGGGGGGAGAAAGGCCTGGCCGCAGATGACGTGGCTTTCTTGATGGGGCGTGGGGGGGAGACAGGCCTGGCCGCAGATGACGTAGCCTTCTTTCGGAGCGCAAGAAATATACATGATTACCTGCTCTGCCCGTCGAGGGTCCTGACATATGGGTATCGAAGGGTATGTGCGTGGCAATCTACTTAGCAGCCGCAAAGGCGTTGTCCCTATGACGACGACGGCGCAGGCCCGCTTCGGGGGATGGACAGCCGATTCCGCGGACCCCAGCTGGCCCCGCCCCCGCCGGCGATGCCAGGGCACTCTTGGGGCAACACACCAGGACACGACTATGCGTATACACTGAAACATGTATACACCAATCACGCCAGATTGGTATATGTGTACCCCACCTGCTAAGTAACGAGTGTCGGTATACACGCAGAATGGTATGCACCAATCGTCAGGGCTGGGTCTCACTGCTGGGAGCGGGGGCGGCTGAAGCCCGCGGAATCCAGCGGGCGAGTCGCAACGAGCTTGCAGATCTGCGTCTGTGCGCACGCAGCCACGCGCATGTATCGGGGGAGCGTAAGACCCGGGTTTGCCAGGACTCGGGTTCGCCATCGTTTTTTGACGACCGCGCCTCGGATTTTGACGAGGAGGAGTTTCGTGGGATGTCTGCAGCGGGAGGCCTCGTCAAAATGCAGGCTCGGCCTCGTCATTTTTTGACGACCTCGTCGGGGATTTCCGAGTCCCCCGTACCCGGGTCTTACGTCTCCCCGAATGTATTCACGCAGCGCGGGGAAGACCATAAAGGTACCAAATGCTATCGAAGCAGGGAGAAGCGGCGGGAGCGGGCAGAGAGGGGGTTTGGCCACCGCAGGGCTCCTCCTCATGGCTCGCGGGTGCAGCGCCTCGTCTAGCTCGGCCTCCTGCAGCCCGGGGGCCCCCTGCCCCGCGAGAAAAAGGGGCTGGGAGGAGGAGGAGGAGGAGGAGGAGGAGGAGGAGGAGGAGGAGGAGGTTGAGGAGGAGGAGGAGGAGGAGGAGGAGGAGGAGGAGGAGGAGGAGGGGGAGGGGGAGGAGGAGGAGAAGGAAGATGGAGGGGAAGGAGGACGAGGAGGGGGAGGAGGAGGAGGAGGAGGAGGAGGAGGAGGAGGAGGAGGAGGAGGAGGAGGAGGAGGAGGAGGAGGAGAGGAGTAGGAGAAAGGGGAGGGGGGGAGGAGGAGAAGGAAGAGGGATGGGAAGGAGGAGAGGAGGAGGAGGAGGAGGAGGAGGAGGAGGAGGGAGGAGGAGGAGGAGGAGGAGGAGGAGGAGGAGGAGGAGGAGGGGGAGGACGAGGAGGAGGGGAAGGAAGAGGGAGGGGAAAAAGGAGGAGGAGGGGGAGGGAGGAGGAGGAGGAGGAGGAGGAGGAGGAGGAGGAGGAGGAGGAGGAGGGGAGGAGGAGGAGAAGGAAGAGGGAGGTGAAGTAGGAGGAGGAGGAGGATGAGGGGGAGGAGGAGGAGGAGGAGGAGGAGGAGGAGCAGGAGGAGGAGGAGGAGAACCAGGACGAGGAGGAGGAGGAGAACGAGGACGAGGAGGAGGAGGAGGAGGAGAAGGATGAGAAGGGGGAGGAGGAGGACGAGGATGAGCCTTCTGCTGATGGTGGTGGCGGTGAGGCAGTGGGCGGGCGTGTCGGCGCGGGGGTGGCACCGCCGCCCCGCCGCCGCGCGTCGCGCGACGTTTCTTTTTTGTGTGTTTTGTTTTTATCAGCGGGCCCGCCGCGTGGCGGGCGCCCTGCGCGCAGAGCCCGCGCGGAGCCCGCGCGGCGGCCCGACGGTTTCAGGTTCCCCTCCGCGCGGCGGCAGTTTCAGAGGGCGCCGCGCGGGTCCTCGTCCTCGCGCTCGTGCTCGTCCTCGCCGTCGTCCTCGCCCTCGTCCCCGCGCGTCGGCGTCGTCCTCGCCCTCGCCCCCTCGTGCGCCCCCGCTCCCCCGTCTCCCCCCTGCTCTCCGCGTGACCTCCCCTGCTGCATGCCCTTCGCCCCCCACGCCCGCGCTTCTCTGAGCCGCCCGGCCCGCGTCCCCTCCCCAACTCCTCGCCCCCCCCAGTTCCCGCCCGGATCGGACGAAGAGGGCGGAGGAGCAAGAGGAGGACGACTAGGAAGAGGAGGACGAGGGAGGAGGAGGGGAGGACGAGGAGCACGACGACGACGACGGCGACGGCGGCGACGCGACGGGGGAGGAGGAGAAAGAGAGTGATTAAGTCATGAAGAGGAGGAGGAGGAGGAGGAGGAGGAGGAGGAGGAGGAGAAGGAAGAGGAGGAGGAGGAGCAGGAGCAGGAGCAGGAGCAGGAGCAGGGGCAGGGGCAGGGGCAGGGGCACGGGCAGGAGCAGGAGCAGGAGCAGGAGCAGGAATACGAGCAGGAGCACGAGCAGGAGAAGGAGGAGGATGGCCAGACCCAAGACTCATCACAGATGTTGGAATAAATCCTCCCTCCAAGCTTCTTCATCACACGCCCTTGCAAGAACCCATGTACACTGAGGGAAACGCCCCGTTTGGAGACAAATGTTGGTAGATCCTACAGCGAACCCAAAATACCACTATCGGAACTTCAACGCCAATGATCAATTGTCTACGCTTCGCGAATCCCCCCCACCAGCCCATTCAGGAGCCCTGCCCATGAGAGCTGACGGGAAAAGGTACGAAGAGACACATGTAGTGAAACAAAGCGGGTAACCAGGGTGAACAGGAGAGATCGCAGGGAGCAAAGGGGTGGCCTTGGAGGGCCTCTTCGGGCCGTCCCCAGGGCCTTCTTGGAGCTGCGGGGCTGTATTGGAGGATACTAGGGTCCTCTTGGAGCTCTTTTGGGGCATCTTGGGGCCCTCTTGGGGCTCTTTTGGGGGTCTTGGGGCCATCTTGGGGCTCTTTCGCGGCGCCGTGGGGCCCTCATGGGGCCCTCTTAGGGCTCTCTTGGGGCCCTCTTGGGAGCTATGGAGCGCCTCCTTGGGCCATCTTGGAGACGATCGATCAAAGGAGGGGGGGTCCTAGATTCCCTCCCCCCTCTGGGGCCATCGAAGTAGCCTCTTGAGGCGATCTTGTGGCCTTCTGAGGGCGATCTTGGGCGCTCTTGGGGCAGTATTGGGGGCCTCGTGGGAAAACGCATCTGAAGCGAGAAGGCGAGAAGGCATCAATCAGTGATGTTCCCTTGGGCTTTTGAAGGATTTTGGCGTCTCGAGGAGATCCTACAAGGTCGCCAATAGCACTTGGAATCGTTATGTGACCCTCTTGGGGCCTCTTGGAGGCATGTCGTTAGCTATATTGAGCCATGTTGGGCTATCTTGAGCGATCTTGGATGCCATCGTGGGCTCTCTGAGGCCCTCTTTGGAGCAATTTCGGGCTATCTTGGACGCCCTGACCGCTCGCGAACCCCCCAGTGAAGGTCCAGGGTAGGGGTAGGGGGAGGGGTCAAGACACCTCCAGATAGCAAGCCGTCTAGCTCACTTCCACCCGCCCTCCCATCACATAAGTAACACCCGAGCCTCAGCATGTTCCGCGGTCGTCTTTTGGTGGACAACAGTTGGGAATCAAAACCGAGCCCATGTGCGCGACGCTGGGGCGAGGTGCGCCACGCGTGCCAGGCGCGCCACTCGCGCCAGGCACCCCTGGGGCCCGAGCGTGCCAGGCACGCCTAGTGCGCCAGATGCCCCCTCAAGCCGCGCCAGGTGCGCCACGTCCAGGGCACGTGCAAAGTGTGTCCGGTGCGCCTGCGCACGCGACAGCACATATCGGGAAGCATGTCGGCCCCCACCATCCCTTTCGAAAACCAATGCCCATCATTGTGTCTGGTGGGCCTGCGCACAGCAGGCCATACGCCACCACTCCCGCCGTCCCTGACAAAAACCACTTGACAATGATCGCGGGGTGGCCGCGCATTATCCACATTTAGCCGCGAGGTGCATTTTGCATTGTGTTTGTCAGGGATGGTAGCCCTGCGCGCAGCAGGCAATATGCTGACACCCCCGCCGTCCCTGTCGAAAAACAATACAATGTGCCCGCGGGCCCCACGAACATGACTCCAGACTTTGCCCCAACGTGTGCTGTGTATTGTTTTTTGACAGGGATGGTGGGGGGGGCCGCATCGGGTTGGTTGCGCATGCTCCGAATTTGGAGGCAGAGTGCGTTTTTTGACAGGGATTGTGGCAAGGTGCCCTCATGGTGTGCGCATGGTTCCGGGTTGGCTGCCGGCCGGGTGGGGGCGGGGGCGTTTATTATTCGGGAACAGTGATCAAGCTACCCACCCGCCCGCAAGCCGTTTCGGCCCTCCCAACACATAAGTAACACGCGGATGTCAGCATATCGCGTTAGAGCGCCGCAGGCGCCGCGGGTTTGGAAGCCTCTTGGGTCCGGCTTTGAATTTTTTTGGGGGGGCAATTTTGAAGCTATTGGGAGGTTCCGAAAACCCATCGGAAACGGTGAGACGAAAAGGCAGCAGTAACTGATGTGTCAAACCAGTCGGTCTACCACCTGCGCCCAGAAGGCAGGTGGGATCTGCTGGCGACCCAGCCGTCCTTGTGAAATGTCCATACAAAGTGATCGCGGGGCGGCCGCGCATGCTCCAAGTGTGGAGGCAGAGTGCGTTTTGTATGATGTTTGACAGGGACGGTGTGGGGGTGGCCCTCATGGGATTCTCATGGTTCCGTTTTGGCTGCCAGCCGGGCTGGAAAGGGGGTGTATATTGATAGGGAACAGTGATAACATTTTACCCAAATTGAAGAAGGGCCTGTCGAAGAGGAAAGAAAGACATCGTTAGACCACCTGCGCCCAGAGGGCTGGTGGCATTTGACTGTTCCTGAACCGTGCCAGAGCGCCATTCCTAGGATTTCAGCACCACGAATCAACGTAACTGTCGCGCCCCCTGACAATCCTGAACCGTTCCAAAACACCACTTGCTGTACGCTCACCATGGGAATCCGTGAAACCCCTGCAATTTATAAATCGAATGTGCGCAGCTCTAAGGCGAGAGCCACATTTTGTGGAAAGGGAGCTGCCCTCAATCCATGAAGCTCTTGAGCAGTTGAAAACAAATGCGCGCGGCGCCAAGGCGAGAGCCACATTTTGAGAACCACCCGCCCTCAATCCGTGAAGCTGTTGCGAATGTTTCAGACGAAGGTGCGCTGCGCTAAGGCGAGAGCCACAGTTTGCAAGCCACCAGCCCTCAATGTGAGAAGCTCTTGCGTTTTTCAAGACGAGTGTGCGCGGCGTTGAGACGAGAGTCACATTTTGGAACTGGCCCGCACTCCGTCTGTGAAGCCGTTGCCAAACTCATAAGGAAACGGAACAGACGAGGAGGAGCAGAAGGAGGATAAGCAAGGAGGAAGGAGGGAGCTGGATTGGAGGAGCAAGAGGGAGCCTTTCCCCCCCCGCGCCGCCCGGCTCCGCCTTTCTTCTCACTCCTCTGCGCGGGGCGACCGCGCCCCTCGTGCAGCAGGCAGCTGGCCAAACCAGCGCTCATCCTGATTCTTCTGAGCTCCAGGGACCTTCCCTCGCGCCTTCACCTCTCGAGTACCCGGGCCCCGAATGTCCTCAGCCTCGGCGCGGGAGGGCAAGCCGAAGGTTGGGGAACAACAGCAGCGGCACGAACATGAGCGTTCGGAGTTCCGCGCCGATATCTTGGATCGGCGCTGGGCCCCCCTCGGCGGCGCCTCGTGAGCCGCCCCTGTCCCGCGCTGCGCGCCAGGGGCGGCGGACCAGCTCCGATCCCAGACACCCGCGCGGAGCTCCGCAAGCTTATGTTCGTGCCGTGTTGTTTGTTCCTCCACCTCGAGTGCCCGGGCCCCCAGTGACCTCGGCCTCTGGCGTGGGAAGGCAAGCCCTCGCACGAGGCCGACGCCTCCCCCAGGGGCAGCCCTCGGAGCGGGCCAGGAACGCGCAGCGTGTGCGCCCGAAGGGGCGGGCGCGACGGGATGTTTGTTCCGCAGCCCCGCAAGATCCTCGCAAGAACGGGGAACACTTACATCGACAACACGTAAGAGTCGGGGAAACGTGAGGCTCGAGTAAGCCGGGACTCGGGTTTGCCGACGCTTTTTGACGAGCACGTTCTGCATTTTGACGGTCCAGTTTGCGTGGGATGTCTGCAGCGGGAGCCCACGTCAGATTTCTGGGTCTCGTCATTTTTATGATGTCCCCGTCAGGTCAACCCGAGTCCCTGAACCCGAGTCTTACGTCTCCCCGAGAGAGTGACCCTTCGCCAAAGTTGCTTTTGGTGCGGGCCCGTTGGGGTCCCCCGATCGCCGCATGCAATGCGATGGCAGGTGCTTGCGCGCCTGGGTTTGGCTGCCCCCGCCCTGCCCCCTCCCCCTAAAATCCGCGCACCAGAGGTCTCAATTGCATTCCCGGGCGCAGTCGATTACACTGGGGACTCGCATCGCATTGTATGTGGAACCCGCAGTCTGCGAGTGGGCGCCTGGGCTCAGGGAGATGTTCCCAAGTTGTTTTCCCCACATCCTGAGCGGGGTTCTTGTTTTCCCAGAACATCCTCTCCTTCTCCCTCCCGCCTCCCGCCTTCCTCCCACCTCTCCAGGGAGGCCCCGCCTGAGCGAGGAGGGCATCGGAAACCAATGCTATTTACATGGTGTCGTGCCCTTCCCACCTCTCCAGGGAGGCCCCGCCTGACCGAGGAGGGTATCGTAAACCCATACTGTTTACATGGTTTCGTGCCCCTCCCACCCCTCCAGGGAGGCCCCGCCTGAGCGAGGAAGGTATCGGAAACCCATACTGTTCACATGGTTTCATGCCCCTCCCATCCCTCCAGGGAGGCCCCGCCTGAGCGAGGTCGTTTCGTGCCCCTTCCCACCCCTCCAGGGAGGCCCCGCCTGAGCGAGGATGGTATCGGAAACCCATACTATTTAC